GCCACAATGGACTGAAGCTCCTGGCGTGTCGTTTAATGTAACTCATAGATCCTTTCCCATGTTAGATTTACGGATATTTATTCCATCCATGGAGCAAGAACTCGGATCGCTTTTACATTTGTCAACTATAGTTGCCCCAGACTTCAAGTCCAGAGGAAGCAAGTTTTATATGATCCAATTGAGGGCTTTGTAATCTCCTTCTGGAGCATCGAAGTACCCTTTTGCACCTGCATTTACCTCCAAAATCTTCAGATCATCGGCATATTATAGTGAATGAGAATTGAAGGCTGCTGGTAAGTCACTGATAAGAGCAGGAATCGGTAGTGTGCCCAGAATAGAACCTTGAGGTGCACCACACAGCATCAGGAACCAACCAGACAGGCAGGAGCCAACTCTAACTAGCTGCAACCTGGTGTCAATGTGGTCTCTAAGCCAAACTAGAAATTTTTCGTGTACACCCACAAGATGAAGTTTCTTACACAGGATATCTGGGTGTAACCCTACCAAAGGCCATATAAAAGTCAAGTAAACCTATGTGAATGGGCTTCTTCTGACCAACAGAGAGGGTCCAGCTATTCCAAGCTGTCAACGGCCGGATGTGTCACATGACCTTCCAGGTAAAAAACCATGTTGACAGTCATCTAAAATTGATTTCTTATGTAAGTGATCATAAAATGAGCCATCTATTACTCTCTATGACCCTCGCGACAGGAGAGATCAGGGGATCGGCCTATAGTTAGAGGTAGGTAGTTTGTTTCCACCCGTCAGTCAGTCACCCGCTTCCAACCAGAGGGTAATCTGCCTTCCGAAAACGAGCGTCTGAAGAGGTTTGCTAGTGGGACATTCAGAACTTCATCACACCTTCTGAGCACTCTTGGGTGAATCCCGCCAATTCCTGGAGACTTATTGGGGCTCAAATTCTTTAATATTTCCATAGTTGCAGGAGATTCAAACTCCGTATGGTTCAGCCCCCCTGATATACGGGTGTCCGACGGATGCGTGGTATCCATCCCAACTGACAAGTTTTCTTGGAATTCATGAGCCAGTAAGTTTGCCACCCCTAAGGTAGCGTAGAGAATCTCTACACTTTTAAGGTCACGTGAACTGTTACTCCCGTGTCTATTGGCTGGTACAGTATCTCGCGGTTCCCCTCCAGGGTTCTACACGGTTGTGTCGGGTAGTTTATCCCATCGTTTCTGATTCTTATCTTACATCTGTTATGGATGTCGTTGTAATTTAGCCAGTAGACAGAGCTATTGATGACCCTCCATTGATTCTAAGGTGACCGTTTACATCGTATGGGTTCTCACGTGTTTGACTTGAGCCTAAAGGAGTAGAACTCGTTGCTGCTTCTTAGAATTACGTGAGGGCTATCATTTATCATCTGAAGGACTCTGTCCCTCAGCGAATCCCACCACGGCATCCAGATCCAGTAGGTTATTGCAATTTAAGCAAGAGGGACCTTCTGGATCTCACCAGACCTTTTCAAAACCGATTCTCCTGTAATTCCTAACTGTTGGCTGACCAGCACTGAAAAAGACTCCAGTTATTGGCATCAAAATTCTTATGGGTTACATGAATGTCAAACTGAGAGCAGGCAACGCGGGTTGAGATTTCTTCATGGGTCAAGAAGCACTCGGTGAAGTGAATGAGAAGGGAAAACTGTTTGCAGACTTCCGTGCACTTGGTGATCTGGTGGTTGGACGCAGTGTGTACAAACACAGGGATAATCACGAAGCGGGCGGGATTTCACCGGACATCAGGACACACCAAAGGTCGGATCGACTCCTTCTCTATCTCAGGAAGGTGGGGCAGTCAACTGGACACAAGATAGCGAAGAGGAGCGGATGTAGATTCACATCACTCACTATTTAGTGCAAGGAACCCCCAAGCCACGTTGAAAGCCTTCAAAGAAATTGATGATAGGCCACGGTTCAAGATGGACACCCGGAAAAGATATTGAAGGACGAATCTACAAAGTACATCGCGTCAGCCACCAGAAAAGTGGGAAATATTAAGCAACAACCCTGAGGAAACCTGCACGTACGAGCACTGGAATTCCTTGAAAGGGACGTGGAAGGGAGCCTGCATAACAGTGTTAGGGAGGAAAAGTAAAGAAGACAAGGGATGGATATCCGTGGACACATGGAAGCTAATAGAGGAGAGTGATATGGTGAAGCAGGAGATAAGCCGGCGTAGTGCAGGGAGGAACAACGAAGAGGGGAACTGAACGCAACAAGAAACACTGGACAAAGAATTGAAGAAGAGTGCCCATCAAAGACAAAAGACACTTCTACAATACACTTGCAAGTGAATCAGAACAGGCTGCTGGTAGGAGAGGCCTGACAGTACTATATCAATTAACCAGGTTATCATCTGGGAAGGGCCCAACACAGATGACTCAATGAAGTATAGTGGAGTACATCCAGTTAGCAAAGAGGAGGAACGAAGTACACGACAGGCTGACCACTTCAAAAAGCTTTTGAATTAACCACCATCTGCAATCCTTCCGGAAATACCAGCAGCAGCCCAGCCACAGACTATCGGTGAACACAAACCCTCCAGCAAAAGCCAAAGTGAAGCCTTGGGTTCCATAAAGTATCTGGAAACTGGTATGGCAGCAGAACCAGATGGATTTCTCCAGAAGTACTGAAAACAGGTGCGAAGACAACAGCGGACATGCTCGTGCCACTACTACAAAAGGTTTGGAAGGAGGGAAAGGCACCTGCATTTCGACTGGAAGAGGGACTACCACGTCAAACTCCCATGGAAGAGTGACATAAGTCTTCGCAAGAATAGGCGGGGAATGATGCTCCACTCCACTCCAACTGGACTACGACCGGAAAAGGCTGGTTGACTGGCCTCAAGAAAAACTAATCATGTGTGGATCAGATTGCGTCGTCTCAACCACAGGCGGTACAGATGAGGCTGTCAAGGCTAGAATCGGAAAAGCAAGACAGGCATTCGGTAACTTGAAATCAGCATGGAGATCTACTCCACCCAGTATAAAAAACGGGATCTGGATTTTCAACATTTATGTCAAGTAAGTCGTTGCTACTATGTGATAGTTTAGATACCTGGCGCGTCACAAGAGGCATTTCGAACAAACTACGGACGTTCATCAACAGCCGCCACCTACGTCCACTCAACAATGGCACTGAAGATCAGATGGCCAGAACAATAAGAATAAGCAACAAGGAAGTCCGGCTGGCTGGCAAAGAACCGACAAAGAACCAATCACCCAACAAATATGTAGAAGGAAGTGGAGATGGATCAGCCACTGAGAAGACCGTGAGGGGACACCACGCGCCTGGCCAGTCCCTCTGGTGAAACCCAGGTGGGAAACGACGAGTTGGGCACCCAAGGCGAGGGTGACATGGAGATGGTTTGAGGAAGAAGTGAAAGCTTCTGGGGGGTGGTGGAGCCATGTTGAGAAGCCTACAGAGATTAGAGTGAAGTGGAGACGTGTTACCGGAGCCCTATATTTAACCAGGAACTCAAGGGCAAACAGTAATAAATAGTAAAGTGGTTGAACGGAAGCAGGGAACAACTACATGGTCACTCAACCAAAGAGGGCTGGGAACATTCAAGAGGGTTACCTCAATGAACTGATTTGTGAAAATATAATTTAGTTGGGATGCCTTACCGCCGAACTCCCAGTGCTTACACTGAGGGAGTCTTCCAGTAATCATTCCCAAAAGTCTTTTGAAGCAGCAGACGGACTTACAGTGGTAAAGAGTTGGGGGATGCCAAAACCTCTCATAATGAGGACCTGCGGAAAGCTCAACCCCAGACCCCCACCAACGGATTGCATTGCCAGTTATTTATCGTGGTAGCTGCTCAAGAAGGGCTGTTTAAGACTCCATCCGAACACGGACCTTCACAGCACTTAATGGTACGGCGGAGAGCATCTTCAGTGCCACTCTTATGGGACTGGATCTCATGGGCTTTCAAGGACGGACAGGTGTAAAGAGCAGCGCCACCTCTTGGACCCCCGATCTATTCTATTGGGACTAGGCCTATTTGGTGTGTTCTAGTACCTGCTTATTCAGTACCTTACCTGATGCGCAAATACTGATATTGGAACACAGATCAAAAGGACTGATATTCAGGAGTACATGCAAGGCAGCGATATATTTGGTCAGGATAGATATGATAATAATTATTCGGGGTAAAGTTTGTCCAACTCACTTGACCAGTATGGCTGGACCTGTGACTCCACCAGAACAAAGGGGGTGCAAAGTGGCACCAAAGCTTACTCGGATGCATGCTCCTCAAAATAAAACTTAAAACACTTCAAGCATCCGGGGAGTTTTAGGACTCTGTGGGTATTGCGCAGAACGTTTACGAAAATAGGTGGCGACATGTTCACCACCTTATACACTCCTTAATTAGGTCTCAATTAGAAAATTGTACACAGGTTGCTAAACCTTGTCTGAAAGGTGACACAGACCTTCTAGAAAGGGCTCAAAGGGCGGCCACTTGTATGATCCCCGCGATAAATAACCTCACCTACGAAGGCCGACCTAAGGGGCTTAATCTCTTCATTTTATCCTATCGCAGGCAGAAAGGAGACCTCATCATGCTATACAGGCTTCTAAGATATGACTTCGGACTTGATCTATCCTCTCTTTTTCTTCCCAATAGGTAAGAACACCTCAGAGGACATAGTAGGATACTAAAAAAGCAAAGAACGAACATAGTCTCCTCAGAGCACTGGTTCTCGCGTCGAGTAATCAACGCCTGGAACCGACTCCCAGAAGAAGTGGTCTCCGCATTATCAATTGACTCTTTCAGAAGGGGATTGGACAAGCACAGGAACCTACTGGAAAAGGATTAATATAGGCTCCCAGTCTCTTATCTTCAAACAACACATCTGAATCTGAAATCTACTTATGTTAGATGTTCTTCGACTACCTCTAAGGCTATAAGCAGGAAAAAATAAGAACTTCTATCACCACCGAAGGAGTATAACTGAGCAAAGACAACCGATCTTCAATGCCTAGAAGCGAAAGTTCAAAAACTACAAGTTTCTTCTACTCGCACTAGTGATGTTGGATGTTGTTTGTCCAAATGGCATTCAATATTTCAGTCCTTGAAGGTGTTTGCAATCAGGTTGTTGGTTTTCGTGTTCATGATGTCTCTGGTTTTGCAAAGTTGTCGACCTCGAGTAGGTTTATATATTTGCTAACATTCCCTAGATTGCCTCTATAGGCCATGAAGCATCTTTGAGAAGATTTTCAACATCGTTGACGGCTTCTAGGAAAATTTACTGGAACGATCGATGTGACCCTAATGAACTAGTAAATTAAGTCATTCCATTACTATTTTCTGTGAACATTTATGTCGGATTGTTGTTTTTATATAGAACTGGATTGTCGTGATATCTGTGTGATCGGTAATCTATACAAACTACGTACAGATTTGTACGTTTAGATGTATACATACCGGACACATCCAGTCCACTGTTTTCCAGTGCCATCGTGATGAACTTAGGGTCAATCCCAGGGTAATAGCATGACAGTTATATACACCTGACATAGTTTTGCATTATTTGGCTCAAATTAATACTAACGGCTCCGTATTAGTTCATCTAATCCCAAAGTCAACCCATTTTTCCTCAAACTAAACAGCACTGTTTCTGGGAAATCTCAGAATTGTCAGGACTATAGGGATATTTAGTTGTAATCATCGACCGTCAGTTTTGTACCGCAACGCTTGTGGTAATCAAATGTCCTCTTCAATGTCAGTCGTCTGAATAGATCATTTACAACCCTGTTTACACATCTTCAATGAAGTGTATAATTAGAGAGTTATTTTGTTATTATACAGTAGTTAATATTTCTAATGACCCAAACTTTTTAAAATGTTTCTGTTTCACCTGTTCATATTGTCACATTGCATTGCCGATTACCAGGTACTCTTAAGTAGTATGTCAGCAGATACAAAAATTTTCAACTTAATACGTGACGGTCTAGTTTCAACTTCTTTACTTCATATTCCTTACTTCTAAGTGATTTTGGGGAGTTGTATAAGCTTTAATTACGGTTTCATATAGGTAAAAAAAAATCTAGTTTGTTTGATAGGACTTTTCCTTGAATGGATAAGGTATACGCAATTAGATGAGTGAAGACAATGAACTGTAAGCTGTTTTACTGGTGAAAATAGTATTGTGTGAAAGGGAGAAAACTTGACTATTAAACATGTTTTCCTAACGCAGTCCATACCCCAGCTATGTAAGCTAAGCTTTGTGATTCAAGCAAATGCCAAACACTCCACTCAACACCACTTATCTTAATTAAACACACTATTGGAATTTATGTATTCAAAGTACACATGTATACGTGGAAATTTCAAACATCATAACCATTGAGCTTAACTGTCACGGTAAATTTAAAGCAAATATATGTTTCTTAGATTATTTGTGCGAAATTTGAGCCTGATATATATTCGAAGCGCAACTTAGCACTTCTAGCACTAAATCTGCACCGGTACCGATACGACACTGATCAGACCATAAATAACGAATACCCTTGCCACATCCCCTTCACAAAAAAAATATCGAAAAAGCTTTCCAGGCTCCATCCAGGCAAGTGTCCAGGCTGCGACGACCTAAGACTGGTAATCCTAAAGAACTGGACCGACGCATTCGCAAAAATAGTCTGCAACCTTCTCAAGCACTCGTTAGAGTCATGCGAAATATCTAAAGAATGCAAGCACGTGATCTTGCCACTCATATTCAAGGGAAGAGAGTGAAGAAGTCTGGTAGCTGCAGATCGATTGTCCTACTCCCCCTATAATGATAGCCGACGAGGTCTGGGAATTCCTTAACAGGAAAAACTATCCATTATGCTCACCAAGGCTTCTAGAGTGGTGTTTCATGTACCACCAATCTGCTGACTACTTTGGACGACTAGACTTTTAGATGGGACACCAGAAAACCAGTACACGTTATTTTCCTCCACCTTGCTAAAGCATTTGACAGTGTCCCAACCGCAATCTTGTTTCACAAGATCTTGTCAGGCGGCATAAATAAACATCTACTTTCTTGGTTCAAAGCGTACCTAAAAGGCAGACAATTCCGCACCAAGGCAAACAAAATATGGTCAGAGTGGAGACCATCGACATCAGAGGTATCACAAAGCGCAATCCTGGGACCACTTCTGTTCCTCCTGTTCGTCAGCGATCTGCCACATAAAATCTCCTCACCCATCCTCTTCTTCGCTGATGACATTAAAATTTGGAGGGTAGTACACGAAAAAATCGACTATTCAGGACTCCAAAATGACCTGCAGCTACTAGAACTCTGGTTGTCGAAAAACGGCTTAGGTTCAACCTGGAAAAGTGTAAAATAATGCACATCCGTACCCCTGAAGCGAGGACGCTCGAATTTCGATACAAGTAAAGTAACCGTGCTACCACCAAAATATTCACGGAAAAAATCTGTGGCTCAACTTTTCTGATGCCTTGAGGATGGAATGGTGACCAAAGCAAACGCGGTTTTACGCTTCCTGTTTAGACAGCTCACCCCCTGAGCTGTTTCTCACGGTTTTCAAATCTCAAGTACGGCCGCTCCTGGAAGTCTTCAGTACAGTGGCACCTTGGACACTCAAAGGAGACTTCTGTCTCTTTGAGAAAATACAAAGATCTGCAGCAAAATCGGTTGTGGGACTAAAGGGGAAAGCATACGACTGAAACACCCAAATCTATTCACTTGGTGCTGTCGCAGAAAGAGGACTAACCTTATTACAGGCTACAAGATCATGTTTCAGGCAGATCACGCAAACAAACTAACCTTACCTGCAACACGAGGGAACCCCATCAGGATAGCACATCAGAGAGCTAACACTAGGTTCAGGTCTGACTTCTTCTTATTAAAGTATGTGCTTTGTGGAATGTCTTATCGCAAGATGCAGTTACACCCCCTCAGTAGACTCGCTTAAAAGACGGTTAGAAAGTTACGCTATTTCATGTTTTTTCACCAGAGACGTACTGAGGGCATTAATGAACTCACCAGCCCACCACTACTTCCTCCCTATTTACCAATGGCCATCTCTCTTGCTGATACACCTGCAATACCTGACTAACTCTTCTCTAGTAGCTACACCCAAATTATCTACTTCTACCTTTCGGGTAATTTCCACATACCTTTTCCCACCATCTTGCTATTCCTATCCAGAAATCTACACGAATGGAAGTCACGAAAGATCCCTAGTCTTCCCAGAAACCCCGTAGCTCTTTAACCACTTCAATCTACAACTTACAAGTACCAACCCACAGAAATACTCACCTCACCTTTTCTAAAAGCGGGGAAGCAGAAGAGATTTCCTTGTTTACTAGAGGAGCCAACCGAACAAGGAGAACCAAACCTCAAGAAATAGACGTGAGAGATCAGAAACTACCAGTTTCCTACGTTCACACTGTTGATGTTGTTGAATGTATTATCATCGCCGACAGATGTCACCACTAGTCACTAGTTTTCCGGAATTCCTAAACTCTCGTTTTGTATTGCAGCGAATGATGCACCTCCTTTGCAATACTAGTGTCCAATAAGGAGTCTCCCACTTAAAGTTGTCCAACGTTGGCCCCAAGTTTATATAACTGGTCTAACGTTATCCCTTTTTCTACGAAATGGTTCAAAGTTGATTCAGTCTACAAATTCAATCTCAGACTGGCCGCAGGTTTTGCTAGATTGCCCTTTGGGTATCACTAAATGGGTTGCAATGTTTTTTAAGTGATTACGTTGTTTGTTTGTTTTTACTTCTGCACCTAAATATTCACCAACCAGCCCTGTATTTTTTTTAGTTTCCTTCTAGTGCTATGAAAATGTCAATATATTTCCTCTCAGAACATAAGGCTGTAAGAAACTTGTAGCAGACGTTGCAAAATTTTAAATTTGGTGGAGTATCAAGACTTAACAATTACTTAAACCCCCCCCAAACTATTCTTAAAATTAATACCCGGTATTAAATGTCACATCTTTAGTTATAAGATATCAAATAGATTTAGCTTCTCCATTTTCACATCTTTTTTCTGATATTGCTACATAAGGTTGTCTTCATTTATTGACTGTGATCAACAATTCGCAAAAGAATGCTATAAAATAGTAGTAAGACCTGTTTATTCTGTGATTTCGTCTTATTGATGACCTGTTTATAAATGGTATATTAGGGTGTAAATGTTCTAGTCACTTTTAAATAAAACAACTGTTGTCGAGTTTAGTCATTCACAAAATGCCTAAAGTGTGATTATTATGTTACAGTCGTTTATCAATAATTCACTAACACCCAAACTTATTTTAGGTAGTTAGTTCACTTGAAGAGTTGAGATTGTGATTCTTAGTTTTTAAAGTTTGCTCCCTGTTGGCCTTGAGGAAATACAAACCAAGTCGATAAAGTAAGGGTTTGTATGCAGTTGAGATGTCATAAGCAGCCAAACAGTCCTGGAACTAGAATGATTAAGACAGAAGAATTCTTGATTTACAGAAATAGTGCATACTTTGTATACTTTAATTATTCCTACCACTAACTAAACTTAATCCACTACAGGCTGATGTACTGGATGGGGTCCGAGAGATCATGTAACTCAGTGGCTTGAGACAATACCAGGCAACTCAGAATCAAAACCAGTGGTCATTATATAGTTTTTTTTTCTATCACTGGAACGTAAAAGAAAAGGAGTGAATGCTTCTTCGGAGGTATCTTTCAGACTTCTAATAACCTACATTTCATTTACATTTTCTCTTCCGTTTTATTTGTCTTCACGATGCTTCTCTATTATTTTGTATGGCGCATATTCTGATGTTTATGTTTCAAGAAGTTTGTGTCCTAGTAATAATTATAGGACGAAGCTGTGAACCACATTCATTGTGTAGAAGCTTATGATACTACACGCCTACCCAGGCTATAGTTATTGGATTCGTTTGGACGCAAGACCCACTGCTGCAAAATTAAGTGCTTATTCTAAAAAGGTCACAGCTACACATCCTTACCACTGATAACTATAGGATAAATTAAAACAAATTACTTACTCTCTATTTCAGTTAATTTTTCTTCATGGTAGACAAACAGATCACCTTCGTTGAAAAGAGTAAATGGCTCCAAGTTGGCATACCTTGCGACAACAAACAAACGGAGCAAAAAAAGAATGAGAAAAATTGGAGTAAATGAAAACTGCACGGAAACAAAGAGAATAAATAAACAAATAAAAGTTGATGAAGTGTTTAGAGTTTCAAAGATGACAAAAAGTAAACATATGTAATCCATTTTTATCGTTTTGAGGACTACAAGTAAACAACTCATAGACTTCAAAGTGAACTACTGCGAAGTATCGATTCCTAAGATTTAGTCAGGTATCTTGTCGGAGTTGAAAACAGCACAAACTAACATGTAACAAACTGATATGTTGTATTCAAAATGATATTTCATCGAAAAACAAATGTCGAATTAAATCAAGTTTGTGTTACATTTCCTAAATTCCCTTTTTATCCTTAAACTAGGGACTGATTTACATCAGTACCGTACAATCATCTTATTCTCCAAAAGTGTGGAGCAAATCAGAACTACACTCAAAAGCTACATTGTTACTATCTTCGTCTCCTAAAAGTATATCAACTGTCTTATGTGAGTTGACTACATTCTTTCTGGCCCTTAATTTGGCCTCTGATAAGTCCTAGGTATGCATATGCAAAACCATGGTCAAATTGATAAAAAAGATAAATAAACTTGGTGAAAGTTTAATCGATCACTGTCAACACCCCGAATGGCAATAATTCAAAAGCTCTGCACACCGATCATTTCATAAATATAGACTGTAGCTATAAAACTGGCAACCATAAGTTTCGTTCCATTTGTTGTCCTCAACCATAAATTCTAACAGTACACTCACTATGCTGTTGTTTGCATTAATTTCAACCCAGTCATTGCATACGAGGTGATGTTTTTCAACTTGAGGTAATGCAAAAAAATGTGTCTGAAATATTCCAAATGACTGGAATTTTACACTATAATAGACTACTCCTTTCGGTTTGTCGAGTAACTGAAGCTTACGCCAAACGCCCATTTTCGAAGTTTCCTTGTATTATATTTGTTTCCTTTGAATAAAATTGTCGGCAATATATAGCACCAGCAGTTTAGCTGCTACAGATGCATTTTACATCATTCTCAGCTGATTACAGTTGACCTTCAAAAGAGTAAATAGGAGTTTGTCAAACGTGAATTCTGTTGACACTAGGCGTGTTTTATTTCATTTTCACTAGAGAAAGCAGTAGGTGTATATTGCTAGTCGACATTAAGTGTACGTAGACAAATCTGATGCGGATTAATAACTTAGATATATAGAACTAAGACACTTAGATGACTTCCATAAGTAAATAAATAAATTGAAGAAATGAATAAATAACTATCCAGATAACAGTAGATAATTATTTAGACTAGTCAGGAAAGCGACGACTAAAAGGTCAACGGTTAGTGAGATGACAGCGGAAAAAGATGAATCTGCGATCCCTTCACACCAGAAACGGTTGGGACGATGAGCGAAACACTCCGGAAATAGTTCAGCTGGCCTCTAGCTACCATTCCGTTGCCTGCTATCCAGGCAAATCCTGATGAAACTGTTCACTTCTCACCGAGGTTGAGAAGATCGTAAGTAACCGGACACGGGAGAGGACAGCAGGCTAATATTGCCTAATGCCACAAATATTCAAGGACCATACTTGAAAGTTATCAGTTAGATCAACCGAAGCCCTAGCTCGCGTATGGAAATCAGATATGATCTCCTCTAACAGATCTCAACCACTGATCGTCCCAGTATTCACTAAAGGTTAAAAATCCTCTTGTCGTAACCACAGGGGGTCAGTCTGATGAAAATAATGTCTAAGATTCTAGGTTATATAATTATTAAACTTCTGAGTGGAGTTCGTAAAAAGCGAACCCAAGAAAACCAGGCGGGTTTAAGGCGTGACCAGGGGTGTATCAACGGGATGTTCACCCTCCGTCAGATTCTGGGAACAAACACACTTATCGATACCTGAATCGGGCTGTATTTTACGACCAGAAGGCAGAATCCAACTACATCGATCGACGGATATTATGCAGTGTCTCTCACTGGAAGTGGCGTTAAGTAAGTTAGCCATCATGTTGAAGGCCCCGCACTCGAACGCTTGTCGACGTGTAAGAGCCTATGATAAGTTATCACTCTAGTTGTTTATTTTAATTGGTGTCTGTTGAGGGCGTCTAGGTTCTCGATCCTCCTTTACTTTTTTCACAGAGGTATCTGTGGAGGTCTTTCTCTCTTCGTCTGACCTTGTCATAAGAGACTCCTTAGTTGGTCCAGAGTACCAGATAACACTGTCCTGTTAGGTGATGACGGTGACAAAATGGAGTCCTCTGGATACCTTGTGCGGCAATTCAAGAACTTTTAGAATGCGTTTCTCACCACCTCAATGGGAATTATTGCTCCAGGATTGGTTTGCATTGGTACCTCGTCTAACAATGGAGAGTAGAGTGGTTGATTGTGCTGATACTTCACTTAATTGGGAAGTCGGATCATTCCTCGTGGATCATTTACTGGCCAAATCTCTGCATGGATACGAAAGGCTAGTCTAGCTTATGGCAACCCACGCCTTTTATCACCGCTGTGATATTGGATTACCTATGGGTTGAGTGTAGTGCACTGCAAATCGCTCTGCTCTACTATGTAAGTGTGAAACATGACCGTTAATGACAGAAGATATGAAAAGCTTCGATCTCCGTCACTCTCGGAACATAAACCTTGTCACGGTGTTACCGCATCAGTAGTGGAAAAGCCGTGGATGATAGGAAAGTCACTTGATGAGGTTATGAACCTTCATGGACTGAGATGGCTGTGTCTTGTGTTACGCATGCCCAGTCACCGTCTGCCTTGTTGTACATTGTTCGCCGAAGTAGCCTCTCGCTGGAAATAGGTGGAAAATGATCATATTAAAGTATGGCATTAGTTCATGAACACTGTAACTGTTGATCTGAGCCATTTTGGGACACGTAGAGTTTCCGATTAGTTTATGCTCTGCATCCGAGCGGTTGAAACTGCAGGTGATATGGTTCAGAATCAGTATAGATAGCGCAGGTGTATTCACACGTTATCTTCATTTTCATACCTAATTTCATTATTGTCTCACTTCTCGCTATCTTATATTCATAATTTTCTAGGATTTTTAACTGCTTACTTCCTTATTTCCTTAATTTCCAACCTGATGCAATCTCACGTGATGTACTGATGTGTAAAGTTGCGTCAGGCTGTATCATTCTGAGTGGAGAGCCTTGATTAGCATTACATACTTCCTTAATACTCCCTTTGCAGTCAGATGCTCCCACAAAACCTCACAGTTGACAGAGTCGAATGCTTCTTCAGGTCAAGAAATATGGCAAGCTCCGGCTGCCGCTAAGTATGTCTGTGTCCTATAACCTGTCAAAGGGTAAAGATTTGGTTGCTACATCTCTATTTAGGTCTGCATCTTTCCTGATTCTCTTGAGTTTTTGTTCTCAAGCTCCAGCTAGGTGTTGGAGGACTACGGACCCCAGGATCTTGGACACGAAGTTGATCAAACCGATGCCCGTATGGTTGTTATGAGGCAACCTCTATCTCTTATGACTATTATTATCCTTGAAGTAGGCCAATACCTACACACTAACTAGTACCCCCATTACTCTACTCAGTGATTTCGCACCTCCGTCTTTAAAAAATTCGGATGACTAACCGTCATGTTCTGCTGCTTTGGAGTGTTTTAGGTTTGGAACAGCCTTACAAATTCGAGTACGATTTGAAGACGGATATGCACGTGCCATTTAGGTTCAGACTGGATACTAGCAACAGGCATGGCTGTAGACCAGTCAAACTCTCCTTCAGACTATTCTGCACAGCGTTCTACCCACTTATCCCTTCGTTCGAGGTTTTTAGGGTCCCATCGTTTGTGTTAGCAGTCTCACCAATCCTCGTCATCTTCTTGTCAGGGTGCTAAATAAGTTAAATGATTTCCGAATAGTACCTAGTGCTGATGCCTTCTCCACCTTTTTCACTTTCTTCACCCACTAGCACTTGAGGTCATTGCGAAAACTGTTCACTTTTATTATAAGTGACGAGAAACAAACCAGTGGTGATCATGATGTTGTACCCTTGCGTCTTCTCTTTTTTAAACATTATTACCTAAGTAATATTCTTTTCTTGAATTAATCTGATAAGACTGCTTCTATGTTAATACGTATGTGTTCCTCTTCTCTCTTCTCTATAACTCGTTTACCTCTATCTGATGTTTCATTATTTCGCATGGTAAACTTCATGCTACTCTTTTTGTACCAAATAACAATAGAAAATATCGCTTTCTAGTATAGCTAATTTCTTTTGGATACAGTTTACAAGACATATGTATGACAGTCACTTTTCTGATTGCTATCCGATGAGATACACCTTAAAATAATGACCATGAGTACAGTTCCTGATTGTGTATGGAATTATTTGTTAACGCTTACAACTAAATTGACCAATTTCCTGATATTCTTGTCCTAAATGTAACACCATTGTTCCCTTAATAAAGTTACTAAATGTCTCAGTAATACCAGATTATTGTCATAAAGAAGAAACAAATGAATGTGAGTGCTGTTTGAAAGAATATTGGTGATTCTCCTCATTGAGTCGTAAGAAATATTGAACCCGCAGCGTAGGACTTACTTTCGAACAACATCTTTAATCATCTCAAACTGTTTACCACCCTAAAAATCCCATTGTGGTAATGTTCTGTATTTTGCAAACAAATAGTCCGTGATGAGTACTACCTCAAAATTAAACTCCTCATTAACCTCAAATACAGTACTGTAAGTGCTTATTAATTAAATGCTTTTAGATGGATATCCTGAAGATCGGATGAGAAGCCGTGACCTGTGGGGTCAACCAGTCCGAAGGGAAGCGGATACCGACTGAAGACCTTGGTGGATATTCACGCTATATCTCGGATTGACGGAAGTTGGAAATGGTGAACTATTAAACTCTAACCCAGTGGCTGATGGTTAATGCGTTCTCCGTGAAACCTGAAAGTCCTGAGTTCGATCCCGAGCCGGGTGGTGGGTGTGTACTCCTGAAGCGTCCGATAGTAGGACGAAACAGCTTTCTAGTTCTCTGAGGTTTTTGATGGTTCTGCAAGTGATGTCAGTCCATAATGACCACTACCTCAAACAGTTATCGCGAAGTAAGATCTAAAAACATTGTAGACCTAGAGAAATTCATTTTTATCGTAAATCTTTGATATGTTTACTTTCTTCCAAATTTGAATTGTTACTTGTGTATATGGGAAACAAACGTTGTCATTTCCAATTCTTTATCAACTACCTGAAACTAAAATCTGAGTTTCATCTGAAGAGATAGAGTAGCGATAGAAGATTATGTAATCCAGAAAGCCAGTAAGGAACCATCTTGTCAACATTGTCATATTTATTTTTATTCGTGACATGAACAATTTCGTATCAGTATTCTTGTGTGAAAATGATCTAAGTTTTCTGTTGTCTTTCAGAAATTTGAAAAAGTACTGATTGCCAACCGAGGAGAAATAGCCTGCCGTATAATTCAGTCATGTAAACGACTAAGAATTCATACTGTTGCTATTTACAGTACAGCAGATTATTTATCACGCTTTGTGTCTATGGCAGATGAAGCAGTGTGTGTTGGCCCTGCACCAACTACTCAGTCTTATTTGAACATGCCTGCTATATTAGATGCTGTGAAATTAACAGGTGCTGAAGCGGTTCATCCTGGCTATGGATTTCTCTCAGAGAATACCCTCTTTGCTGCAGAACTAGAAAAAATGAATGTTGTATTTATTGGTCCTAATTCTAGAACGATCAAGTCTATGGGTGATAAAATTGAGAGCAAGCGAATCGCCAATCGAGCCAAAATTATCTGTATCCCAGGATTTGATGGAGAAGTGGATAGCCCAGATGAAGCTGCTAAAATCTCAACAGAAATTGGTAAAAATGTTCAATATGATATTACTGTACAAAACTTTCATACGCATTGTTTCTCATGCCTGTTGCTTTTCTGCATAACAGCTTGAGAGTATTCTGAACTTTAAGTTCGAAAACTAGAGATTTGTCTTTATATACAAAAGTCTAAAAAATTCCAATTTAAATTTTAATATGGATTGATTTAGGTCTGGATAATTCATGAAGCTGCTTATGATTGTAAATCATCGAATGGATACACTTGCAGTCAATCTTATGGGTTTTTTTTCAGTGTTTTCATTGCATTCACTTGCCTTCCATCTATTACTTTTCATTTGATGAATTTTCATATATAAAAACCACTCGAAGATGCTTTATATGAGCTAACATCATCTATGTATGCTATTTACTATAGATCATTGCTTTGATCTGCATTTGTTTGTCTTACAGGTTATCCAGTTATGATCAAAGCATCAGCAGGTGGTGGTGGCAAAGGTATGCATATTGCTTGGAATGAGAAAGAGGCTCGTGAGGCCTACCGACTTTCTAAGTCCGAGGTGAAATCCAGTTTCGGTGATGACCGTATGCTAATTGAAAAATTCATTGACAATGCAAGACACATTGAAATACAGGTAGTTCCACTGTATATAAGGAATATCTTGTTTTGAAAAACTATTTTGATAAAATTTTGGGATCTTGGGTGTTGAGCTTGTGGGTAAGGATGATGTAGTTAACCAAAACTAATCACACGACTTTCTTGTTTATTATTACTACAAATTTGATTCTCAAATATAATGACCTTTGGATTTGATCTAAGGAAATGTTGTGGGACCTGTCGTATTGTATCACTTCTATATATATATATATATATATATATATATATATATATATATATATATATATATATATATATATATATATATATATATATGAGTGGTATTTAGTGTTATTTAGTCCTTCATTCTGATTTATTCAGAAGCTAGCTGTTAATTAATAAGGTTTTTCATCATATTAGTCTCCTATGAATCTTTCTTAAATTTTTGTTTTGTAGGGACATTCTACTGATTTCGTTGCCTGTGTCTTTTTCTGTCAGATGTTTTAGAAGTAACGTTTTTCTGCGGAATCAGATAGAGTATACCCAGCTTTATCACATCTTTTTCACTCAAGTGTTATCAGTGAGATTGAATTTTCTCACTGAAGTTTTTTTTAAACACATACGCCTTTCAACCTCCTGCAGCATACAGAGGAATAAGACAGGCTTATGCACCAATGGTATAATTTCTAACTTAAAATATTATGTGACCTTTTAAAACCATGCACGTATGAAATGATTTTCAAAACACTTTTGTCTATCAAGCATTGAAGATATCAGAATAAGTGTCTGATTTATTTATTTTTAGTTTCACACCACTTTATTGTCTCGTCATTAATGTAATCATGCAGTGATCAAAAGTGAACTATGCAATTCGTACCTATCAACGGATGATTCTGTTTTCCAGAATACAAACCTAGATATGTTACAGTACTTCATTTGGGATGGTTACAGAAGATGTTAGTTACCTACAATTTCTTACACTGAGTATTTACTTGTTGGTATCAAAATATATAGTGTCTACGTTTTGATAGACAGACAACTCGACGTTCAAGTCTTGACTCACTCTTGAAAAAATCAGCAATGCATAGTTGAACACTCCTGAAATGATGCAGATAAAAATTATCTTTTGATAAATTTAAAAATAATATTTAGTAGTACTCTAAGGAAATGCACCTGAGAGGCTTCGTATACTGTAGACTAGGAAACCATGGGAAACAAAGGGAAAAGAAGTCACCTTACTGATAATTTCTGCTCTTTTTATTGAATTAAAGAGTAGTAACCCAATATTTACAGTCAGGTTAACATTGTGACAGTGCCAAAGGTGACCTCTAATAGAAATCATATTTGTCACACTTCCACTGAGATTCACAACCCACTCTTTTCACTTGTACTGTGGCGGCTATTATACATGGGAATACTGACTGCTAATCGATTCAATGTTGTTTGAGTAACGTGTATATTATTGTACAATAATTAAATATTGTTTTTCAAACTGATGAACCAATTAATATTCCTTTTCTAGTTGTCTTTGTTATAGTATAGTACTGGATTCCTTATTTTACTCACTCTTCCACTGAATATAATGATGAAAGTTAGGTTTTCTCGAGGGTTTTTGGGCCAAAAATGTTATAGGACTTCATTAATAAGTAGAGTTACACTTTTGAACTTGATATTTTCCATCTTTTTACCATAGGGCTCAATGATCTGAACATTTGACTTTCAAGCAGTGGGTTTTAGTTTCAAATCCTGTTCCATCTATTTTTGACTGGGTATAATCTTAAGTCCTCATGCAATAAATGGGATTCGCAGCCTAGTACATATAAATATACTAGGTTGAGTTGCATCATTTATCATCATTATTATTAGGACTATCACTTTATGTCGTATAGTTAAGAAGAATTATTTGACCCTGATGAATAAAATAAACTGATTATTTGAAGTTCTCGTCATAAAATGAGTTCGGAAATTGCTTGAAGCCAAAGCACAGTAGAAAGTTGTATGATACTAATTTGTTTCCACTCATTGTTATATACTCGCAATCTCTTTCGGTCTTCGTTTTGCCACTAGTAAGTGTTTGATATGGAAAATGAAGGTCGTAGAATCATTTTTGAAAACGGTTGTATAGTTCAACAATGTTAATACAATGAGCTGTGTTAGATATCTGATATTCAATAATTTCCATTGTAGTATTCTGTAGACTCATAGAACAGTTTATTATTTTTGTTTTATGGATACTGTCTGAATTTAAATCAGCATAGTGAAAAGATCTAACTCTCTATCACTATGACCAATGCACATTTACCATATTTTGATAATAATTATTGATTACCTAGATACTTTGTGATAGACATGGAAATGCGATTTATCTTAATGAACGTGAATGCTCAATTCAAAGACGCAATCAGAAAATCATTGAAGAGGCACCTAGCACATTTCTCGACCAAGAAACTCGTAAAGCCATGGGTGAACAAGCTGTATCGTTAGCCAAAGCAGTTGGTTATGATTCAGCAGGTATGATAGAATATTTGATTGTATAAATATATCATGCGATTGTAATTCTTTACGTTTTTATAGGCTCAACGTTTATAATCCTACTGTTTGATCATAACTTAGATCTATTAGTCTTGAGAACGGATTTCTCTTTTTTATTTAAAGTGTTTTTAAAACAGTTACTTTTTAATGGTGCTGCATTCTCAAAACTGCTTAATTTCACCGTGAAGCTTCCAGTGTCCTTGTGAACAACATTGTTAGCTCAAACGTTGATAAAGTAAACCATCGGGATCTTTTCATCAATGATCTAGTAGCTTGTCTTGATGACGTGGGGATATAAAACTGAATTCATGACGACATTTATAGTACTTGTCTTATTGATATATTTCACTAAATACTCTAGGAAATAGTGTTCACATCGTAAACAAATTTGAATAAAGTAGTAAGTAGTCTAACCGATTTTCTTTCTTTTTTGTCACTGCCCAGAGTGTCCAGGGAGTACCAGTTTTTGAATCACTAGTTTTTATATTGTCTCCCATTGCTAATCCAAGTATATCAGTTGATAGGATACCATGAAAGCTTCATTTAACGACAATATCTACCCCAACTTTCTTACTTTCAATGTATTTTGTGTTCCCTCAGCTATGAAAATAGAACAAAAATTTGTTTCCTTAAACTACATTGAAAATTCTTTAGTTTATTTTTGTTTATAACTATGCCTGCAATCTCTTTTCATAAAAAAATTCTTTAGGAACTGTGGAATTTTTGGTTGATTCTAAAAGAAATTTTTATTTCCTTGAAATGAATACTCGACTTCAAGTAGAACATCCAATCAGTGAGTGTATTACTGGCGTAGATATTGTGCACCAAATGCTCCGAGTTGCGAAAGGACATCGCTTAATGCTATCACAGGTTAGTCTTAAATATGAATAAAACAAGAAAAAACGCATTTTGCACTATAAAATGATGTTATTTTGTTTCACAGATATTCATCAGCTGAACAAAACCTAAAATTACAACGAAATCACTTGAATTTACAATTAGATTACATAAGTTGAAATAGAGAAAAGCTTCCAAAATTTGGCATTTAAAGTAAGAGTGATTAGAAAGGGAGGAAAATTTTCACATGCACAGTAGCCAAACACTTGATGAAAATCTAACACGAAGTATATGTCTTCTAAGCATTCATGGTAATAAATGAACAAAAGCTGTCAAGTTTACTGCATTTATCTGAGAGTTTTCCAGCCAAACATTTTGAACCTAGCCCTTGTGTACAAAAAGAGACTGTGATTAACCTTGCTGTGCCTTTCGTTTTAGCTGCATACCACAGCTCGAGGCGACTGAAAAGACTTGACTACAACTTACGTTAAGCTACTACCTCTCCTCATTATGGCATGGGCTAGCTGACATGAGTCATCTTATGCCAGTCAGATCGGATGCAGTTGTCGAAACTCACTAACATTTGCCAACACTTGCATTCAGGTCACCAATTGTCCTCACCACTGCTTCAACCATAGCCTGAATATTACACACATCAGGCTTCACCAAGAACAGAGCCGATTCCATATTCAAATAAATGCTTCGAGATTTCCCTCCTAAAAACACACATGACGTTGTCCTCTCTCAGTCAAACAAACACTGGTTTCACTGCTGTAACTCTCCTGCACCCATGGAAACGTAAATATACATATGACCTTGTTCAACGGGCATACCAGGAGTACGGGACGTACTCCGAAGAGAGTGACCACCATCCACCAATCCTTCACAACGATGTCTTGAGACATGCTGATGTGATATATCTGTGTCGACCGTGGGTTCGGTGTTGGTTCACACCAAGTGAGACAGTGTTCCCCCTTATGATTAGAGTTAGTGCTGGTCAGGAGCAGATGACTGTCAGAACGAAATTGTAGGAGGTGATCATCGTTGTCAGTTCGTTGGTATCGGATACCATACAAACCTCTCAGATGGCTTTCTAATAATCGCCTCAGTTTATCTACTTGAGCGTTGAAGTCATCCACCCTCATGACTAAATCTGAACGTTTAGTTTAATGTAGGTGAATTATTGATAAGTTTTGACGGAATTCATCTTTCGCACCATCCGAAGAGAAGTCGGTGAGGAAGTAGGTGGAGATCGCGAATTGGCAATGACGAGTGTCACCATTGTTTTCCTTTCATAGAGATCCATTCAGTTAGACAACGCATAGACGGCTGTCGATTGGTGTTCAGTTGAGAAGTAAGCTTTATGCTCTGCAATCGATTTTTTATCTACGGAAACTATTTATGTGGTTTCAAGACATTTGTAAAGTCAGTTTAGCTGGTACATCACGTTTGAGAAGTGAGGTCAAGTGAATAACCTTATTGGGGTCCTGTACGTGTCATAGTAACATAACATGTCTACGATTAACAGTCAGCTAGTGTTTCACCGTTTCAAACTTGAATCTTCATTCTAGTATCCAAACAGTATCAATGATTGCGGTTGTTCGGTGTTTAGTACTGCAACCTACAATGTCAACATAGGAACAATAAAATATTGGAAAACTAAAAAGTAGGTTGTTCTTGAAGTTTAGTTTTTCTGTACACCTAAATAAAATCGGTTTATCTGATAAAGATGAAATTCAATATCATTTTCGTGTATGCCTATTTTAATTGAACCCAAATGGTTCTCGCTGAATCGCTTTTCTAAATCTGTTGTTATTTTCTACCTATTGGAAGGTAAGAATGTTATAAAAGGAAAGTAATATTAGCTATTTGTTGTCTTGTAGGACTTCTTTCCTAAACAATCCAACAGCGCGAATATATCTCAGTATTAACAGATGATTTAGCTCCATGAACACCTATATGTGTATACAGGTTCCTACTAGGAAGTGAAAAACTCCTGTGTTTCCCAAGCTTCGGTAGCTGGAATATAATTTGAACAAGTAGCGCACTGGTTGAAGCCCTAGCGTTTAATCCAACAAGCCACAATTGATTGATTTCCTTTGCAATTGTAACATTTATTCAACTGTTTGGAATTGACGTACACCTTAAAGGGATGAAGTGGTACTTTTTTCTAATTCACTTAAGCCCTTTGACACTCATTCAATAAGGTAATTATTTCGAAGCTCATTTCACCAGCTTGAATTTAAACAGCTTCGTAGTGTGTATCATTCTGATATAGTAAGTTTAGCTAATAATAGCATAAACCAATCTGCACTTGGTTACTCAATTGCGACTACTTTTTTTTTAATCATTTTGACTGTCTAAGACTGTGGGAGACTTGTACTGATACTGGGTGATGATTAAAAGTGAAATGAAATTCTGGACCGCGGCCGGATTGAAACCATCGACCACCGGGTTACCGGCTCGATCCCCTACCAACTGATCTACGAGGTCCAAATGGTGACCAGATTTTTATTTCACTTCAATCACCAAGGGTTTTGCCCGATTACTATACAAATTCGTGACGCGTTACTGCCCCTTCTCATCACAATCCAAATCTAACTGAATTAGAGAGTGGGCGCATCATATTGATTATAATTTTGACTATCTGACCATCTGGTTTCTCAGATTTGTATTAATACTGGGTGATGACTGAAGGTAAAATGAAAATTTGGAAATTATGACGCTCCTCCTCTCTAATTCAGTTAGATTTGGATTGTGATGAGAAGTCCTGATTGAGCAGCCAGTATGAGTACGACCAAGTGACAGTAACGCGTCACAAATTCGTATAGTAGTCAGGTAAAACCCTTGGTGATTGAAGTGTGATAAAAATCTGATCAGCAGTCGAACCTCGTAGCTCAGTTGGTAGGGTATCGACTCGGTAACCCGGTGGTCGCTGGTCCGAATCCGGCTGCGGTCCAGAATTTCATTTCACCTTCATCACCCAGTATCAATTACATTTTTGTATCTTCTATTATAGACAATATAAGAAATTTACCAATCTTCTTTCACCTTGGAAAGATAATCTTTTTGTGTTTATGATAAAATTGTGTATGCTGTTTTACATATAAGTTTAACGATTGTATAAATTTTGTGCTTACAAGTAAAAAAACATATTTCATTACACTATATAGGTATTTTAAGTAGGCTATGGGGCATACTGGTTATATAAAGGTTAATAACTCTACTTGACTGCTCCAATCTTAGCAGATGGAGGGATGCTCAAATACATAATCCAATGTTTAACAGTTAAGCACTTATATTGGTAATCTTCAATTTCATACTGACGGTCAGAATTAATGATCAGAAAGTTAACTTATGATTCGTGTAGACTTATTTTAAACTATCATTTGTTGGAACTATAGTTTTCAACACGTATGTAGTCTTTCTACAATATTGTTATTCCAGTATAAACTTATTTATAATAATACTGAAAAGTATCCAATTAGTTTTGCTTATCCGCATTTCTTTAGTATGATATTTTGTTCTTGCTTATACTTAAGTACAGTTACACTTCTTTATGTTCATTCTGACTACACAAAAACTAGTCTGATATACCTGTACATGGATGGGCGTTTGAATGTCGTGTATGCGCTGAAGACCCATACAGAGCGTTTGGTTCACCATCGATTGGGCGTTTACACTCTTACATTGAACCTGTACATATTTCTGATGTTCGTTGTGACAGTGGAATCACTGAAGGATCTGAGATTTCTATATACTATGATCCTATGATTTGTAAACTTATTACGTATGGACCCAATCGTCAAAGTGCTTTGGATACCATGGCTAAAGCTTTGGATAGCTATGTTATTCGTGGTGTCACGCATAATATTCCTTTACTTCGTGATATTATAACTGAAAAACGTTTTGTCTCCGGAAATATTTCAACAAATTATCTACGTGAAGTGTATCCTAACGGATTCAAAGGTTAGTTTTGCTTCAAACAAGTAATCTCGATAAGAAAGATTGAAAAGTATGGTTGTTTTTTCATACCTACCCATCTTTTCTGATTATACACTATCCAGTAGTAACTTCAGTATTTTATTGATTTTAGGGTTGAACGCTAACACTCTGAAGTAGCTAGTTTCCAACAGATATTAGTTTCAAACCTTGGTCTCAGGACGTGAGTGCAGTGAATATTAATGTATTGCGTTATTCATTGTTCTGATAAGTGATAAAGTCAGAATAACTCTTAGTTAGTGTACAGAACAGTTCAGAACTAACATAGTACCCTAAGTAAGCCTGACCACCATAAATAAATTTTGTTAGTACAAACATGTTTAACGTTGTTCATTCTATTTTAAGTTTCAGTGACGAAAAATATTACAACAGTACATTGATTGGTCACTGAAGGATAACCAACTTCATGTTGCCTAGCGCCAAGTGCTTATCGAATTCTATTGTTCATTTTGTAAGCTAGAAGATTCACCATTGCGGTGCACTGTGTTTAACTTTTAACGGAAAACCTGCCTGGGAAATTCCGTCATTTTACCTATACATTTAAGAATATACAGCTCATAAAAATGAGTCGTCGAAAGAGTAATTATCTTCGCTGTAACCTCCTTTCATTTTCCAATGACCAAACGGGGATTTTTCGCTAATGAAAGAATCTAATAAGTCTGATGTTCTGTAGACTATCAGTTGCGGGTATTTGATCACCACTGACCTCACAGCATCTTTTGCGAATCGTGAGGCTAGTAAACTAATGATGCAGAGACTAGACATAGAGTCGTAACCTTGTAACCTTCCCATATCTTGTACTCTTAATAGTCACGATGGACAGTCGTAGAGTAGGATAGAAGACTATGGCGCAGTAGACTTCTTGTCTGGTAGGAAATGGAATATCTTACCTATATCAAATATAGTGTGAGATCGAAAATGCCAAAAAGGTTTTTTGTATTGAAGCTGATATTTCGTTAGCAGCCATCGAATTAAAGCTTATGCTACCTCTCAAGTGAGCGAAGTGGTCTATGCCTCCTCCACCCTTAAACTGGTAGTTGGTGAGAATCATTCCTTAAGAAACATCTTACACTTATCAGGTGCTAGATGCATGTCAAACGTAACAACTGTGATACGCATGCCTAGACACTGTCTATCTTGTTGTGTTATGCTGGATGAAGCATGATTCGGTTGGAGAACAGCTGAAAGTAGCCATACCAGTGCGTATCATCAGTTCTTGAAGTCCCTAATTGTTGGCCCAGGTTATCTAACGAAACATAAACTTTTAGGTTCGGGTTCATATGACAGTCTAAATTGATGATTAGAGGCCGTTTGTGATACGGCTCAAAGTATGTCACAGTGGCGCAGATGCATCTCTTTATCACAGCTGTTATACCACACCTCATTGATTGTTTTCGTATTTACGTTTTTTGTCTACCTTCTCGTTGATTTTTATGGTGATAAACTGGTTTGGGATGTGTCAACTTCGGTCCTCACGCAGTAAATCCAGATCCTATTTCTGGTGGTGCCCGATTAATCAATTGCTGTCGTGAGTCAGTGATATGATGTGATCACTTATCACATTAACAAACATGGCCACCTGCTTAAAATTTGGACTATCAAAAAGTTTACGTCAAGTTTATCCTTTTTATACTTGTTTTAACTATTAAACTGTCAACTCATCGTAAAATGTACTCTCGGGTATTCTCAAAATGTCTCCAACTTGTCGTTGCTCAAATTAACAACAAAAGTGCGAAAAAATATATCTGTAGGTGACAGTGGGCTTTTGAGCTCACAAAAGTTCATCACATAAGTATTTCAGAAATGATCAGCAGGGACTGCAAATTTTTATGCCGACTAAATAATCCCCCCCTCGACCGAACCTACGGATGCTTTTCTATTCTTCCCTGCGTGCAACAACATACCCACAAACTAGACGAAAACCTATAAACAATTGGTAGTTGCGTATTACTGCTTATCATACTGCTGTTATTAATATTACTTAACTGTGACAGTTATTTAATGTGAAAATATTGGTCAATAACAAATCAGCTTTTTAAATTGAGCATTTAATCCTTAGATTATTTATATATGTGAATTTCTTTTCTCTATTTCAGGCAAAGTTCTAGAGCTAAAAGAACTTCTTACATTGGTTTCTGTAGCTGCAGCTATATTTGTGAAAGATGATGCGCGTATGCGAAAAGATTGTCAGTAAGCCTTGCTTTGCACATTTTACCCTGTGAATAATTCTGATACATTCTACCATGTTTCTTTTTGTTTAACCGAAAGAAATCAAGGTATGAGCTGTTGCTCATTGATCTAGTCGATCGACTTCCAACAAGTGGATCACAGGTTTGAATTCTGATTTACCTATTGAGGTTTAGACTGTCTAGTAGTATCAGTGGTCCTCACACAGCAGGTGTGACTGATTGCTTTCTGCACGGACGTCGACGTGGTTTCTGAGTGCACTTCGAGTTTTTAAAATCTAGTGAGATATGATGTTATTTCTCTCCTGTAGATTTATTTTCATAAGCTAGCATAGATTTGTCAGGATTTACGAAGAGTTGCTGTTTGTGAGAAGAAAATTAAAAGCTCGCACATTCTTTGGTCATGTGAGAGTTTACGGCAAGTTATTGTTGCAGCCTAGCAAAACAAATGATTTTTTGCAGGAGACTTTGATTATCGTTTTGTTTGATAATACTAATTTTCTGTTGCTACACTGGGTTGAGTGGTTCGACCTCTGTTGACGGGTGGCCTCCTATATGGGGGCCCCAACACTCCCTGGATATTCAGTATGTTGTAGCCTGCTTGGCGACTGCCGGTGAAATCCTGGACGTTCTTTTCATCCTATTTTCAAATCGTCAGTTGGATGTATCTCCACCCCGGTGAATGATGTTGTCCCCACGGACACTTCATCTTTTTTCTGTTTAACTCCATTTAAGACATTCTATAGGTATCGAATTACTAAAATGTGAATGAGTAATTCTCAAACTACTTGCAGGTTATATAGCTCTCGTATACATTTCTTGTAGTTTATTAGTTTCATTCAATATTCAGCTGCGCTGCGGTGTAGGCACTTTCACCCTTACGATTATTAAATCTAGATTTTGGATACCTTAACCGTTATCGAGGTGTTTGTTCCTTGTTTGCTTGTACTTTTCTACTTCATTCCGATATTTTATCTTTCTCGTCAATTTTTCGTGTATTACCTCTTGAAATATTTGTAACGGGTTTCATGATTTTCTGTCTGTCAGCATATCAACTGTCTCAAAATCATTTTCAAATATTTTGGGTAATATAGTATTAAGAAGTAACCTGATAGCTGTTGGTCGTTGTCGTTTTGAAATTTCTGATAAGGCTATCATAAACTCTTTCGTAATATAATGAAAATCCAATGCTATACTTTCAACAATACAACAAATACTTATACTTGAAGTTCCCCCCCCCCTCACCATCTACTGAAGCATTTAGATTACTTAGTGACCTTGCTTAGCAAGTGAACAATATGGCATGTTTAGTTAATAGCATGTCACGATATGTACAAGTGAGTGATGATCTAGTAACATCAATGAAACAAAATAAGTGAATTGCATATAGTCGCTTCGGGTTATTTGTAGTGATATTCATGAAATTCAAAGTTACAACCTCAACTGTCAGTCTCTTTCAATTTATTGTTCTAATAAATTAGGGAGGCACAGTGGGATTTGGTTGCGTCATTACAAAACAATACCGCTAATAATGATTTGAAACCTCGTTCTTATGTTCAGTGCATTGTAACACGTGACTGTACAAGTTTTCAAGTACGCATGTCTCCATGGGAACCTCCTAAACATATTAACCAACAAAATGAACAAGTTACTACTCCTCAATTTTCTAAATGGGAAGAAACAGTTGTAAAAGTAGCTGATAATTTTAAACTATCGGATAAAATTATCAATCATTTTTCTGATGGTGAAGAAGTAAGTTGATTAACCTACCTGTCTTTATTGATTCCTTTGACTTCGTTTCATTCAGTTTTATCACTGATATTGAATCATTTCCTGTCCAGTTTACAAATTAGTAAATGTGATTGGCTTAAAAATAACCGGCTGATGCATATTCCCGAAACTTACTTTTTCAATTTTCAAAAATAATAATACCTTTATTCCAAGCATGACTTGTGGTACATTATAGAATTCTCAGCATGTAATAGTTCAACAAATTCATTCCCTGTACAATATCTTCAAGTGAAATAATCATTGCATTTGAATAATATCAATAATAACAGTAATAAAGGCCACAATGTGAAACAAGCACCTGGTATTACATTGGCGTCTGATTTGGACTGGTGAATGAATAGAATACTGAGCATAATTTTGATGGTGGTAGTTTATTAGACCATTGCCAAAACCTGCAATTCAACATAGTTATCCAAGGATTAGTAATATACTGTATTTCTATGCCTTTATAAGCTAATCTCTTACCGGCCTATCGTTTATTCTTTGTTTTGTTGTTAGCTTGAGAAAGAGCAGTTTGAAACCATTTTAAAAGTGTGCAAGAGTACTTGACACGTTTAAAAGACATTTAAAAGATTAAAACAAATTGAAAGGGAAGGATTTGGTGAAATAAATTCAATGGAAATTTCTCGGTAGCCCTTTGAATGACACTCCATTTATTTCATTATGTTTAGACTCTAATCTTTACGAGTTTTAATGACTGTTTAAGTTCAGGAATAGATGAAAGCAAATATGAAGTCTACTCAAATTACCAATGCTAAATCTCATCGAACTATAATTTCCATATTACCTAGGACTGTGATTGAGGTTATAAAAACTGCGGTTAAACAACACCTTGAACCAGATGTCTAATAGTTAACAACCTGTCACTTTACCAACTCAGCTGTAGTTCAACTACTAATCAGATCTCAGCTTTACTTCAGTGTTTGTTCCCGGTTGTGACATGAATAAGCAACATAAATCTGTGTTCATCATCTTCATACTAGCTTGCTGGAGAAAATTCTGTTTCTATTAATCAGAAAAGTAAAACATCTAGCTGACATTTGATAAGTTGGCTTCAAGTTGACTTGGCTTACAGACTTATCTTAATGATGAGTATATTTCATTTGTTTACATGTCAGCTGATAAAAATTTTTGTCAGTTTCAAAGACTTGAATATTTCCGCTAACCTTCACTGATTTATTTTCCTGCTCTCACATGCTTTAGCCAGCTTTTAGCTTCTTTGTTTCCGATATGCCTTTGCTTTACACACTACCGACTGATAGCTGCTACCTTGATGTGGTGACCGGGCTTGCAAATCACAATGACCTAACTAGCTATGCCGGTGGGAATATTTGTTCTCTGATGTCCTACTATACCAATAAGATCTTTTGGCTAGTGTCAAGATAAAAGTGGTTACTCTTAAAGTATGAATAAATACTGTGCAATAGGGGCCGAGGGTAAAGTTTTACTGTTGACTGCACCAAGTTTGGTAACACAGGTTTTCTCTCGATGACTAACATTTAAAAGTCGACCTCAAAATAAACATTCCACTATGCTCTGTAGTGTTCCATGGCCGACGGTTTGAGTTTTCTTATACTGCGTTAGCAGGATCAAATCTCAATCCAGAAATCTCGAAAAGTACGGGCGATAGGCCTCAAGCCAGTGTCCCGTCAGCTCTACAGTAACACAAAATTATTCTTTTTTCACCCTGTTACCTTGAGGAAACATATCGTACACTGGGGCAACAAGGGAGTATCAAACCCCAACGATAAATTGCAGAGCATAAAGCTTACTTCTCAACTGAACACCAATCGACAGCCGTCTATGCGTTGTCTAACTGAATGGATCTCTATGAAAGGAAAACAATGGTGACACTCGTCATTGCCAATTCGCGATCTCCACCTACTTCCTCACCGACTTCTCTTCGGATGGTGCGAAAGATGAATTCCGTCAAAACTTATCAATAATTCACCTACATTAAACTAAACGTTCAGATTTAGTCATGAGGGTGGATGACTTCAACGCTCAAGTAGATAAACTGAGGCGATTATTAGAAAGCCATCTGAGAGGTTTGTATGGTATCCGATACCAACGAACTGACAACGATGATCACCTCCTACAATTTCGTTCTGACAGTCATCTGCTCCTGACCAGCACTAACTCTAATCATAAGGGGGAACACTGTCTCACTTGGTGTGAACCAACACCGAACCCACGGTCGACACAGATATATCACATCAGCATGTCTCAAGACATCGTTGTGAAGGATTGGTGGATGGTGGTCACTCTCTTCGGAGTACGTCCCGTACTCCTGGTATGTCCGTTGAACAAGGTCATATGTATATTTACGTTTCCATGGGTGCAGGAGAGTTACAGCAGTGAAACCAGTGTTTGTTTGACTGAGAGAAGACAACGTCATGTGTGTTTTTAGGAGGGAAATCTCGAAGCATTTATTTGAATATGGAATCGGCTCTGTTCTTGGTGAAGCCTGATGTGTGTAATATTCAGGCTATGGTTGAAGCAGTGGTGAGGACAATTGGTGACCTGAATGCAAGTGTTGGCAAATGTTAGTGAATTTCGACAACTGCATCCGATCTGACTGGCATAAGATGACTCATGTCAGCTAGCCCATGCCATAATGAGGAGAGGTAGTAGCTTAACGTAAGTTGTGGTCAAATCTTTTCAGTGTTCTAGAGAGGTGGTGTGTGGCGAAAGCGAATGGGATGAAGAGTGCATCTGTATTGGACTATACTTCACATATATTTGACGCTATAAGGAAACTGGATAGAGGAAGATGATGGTTACTGATACAATTGCAGAAAAGTATAGCTTTCTGATAACCTCTCACTCCAACACAAACGGCTGAATCATTGAGCGATATCTCTCACGTGACGGGGTGCAGGATATCTAAATAAGTGCTAAGGACTCTTTACTCGAACACCCACTAACGTGTCTGGTCGTATGATCACATCTCATTTTGGTTCCTTTGAGTAGTGTCCGTCAAGCTGTCGACTCTTTTAGTTTTGAACAATGCAAAAACAACGGCATTTGCAGGATAAAATGAGCTCTTTTTATTGCGTGGCCTTTCATCAGCTGCTAACAGCCTACAACTGAAACAAATCATCAGCAGTAATAATAACATCACATACTTTAAATATGTAAAAATAAATGGAAATTTGAAATCCAGGATTAACGATATGGTAGTGAGCGAGTCAAGGATACACAAGACTAATAGTTGTATATCTTAGTCAAAATCTATGCCTATTTATATCTCATGAGACAGAAAATCCTGGAGCTGTGGAGTGGGAGGATAACAAACGAAAATCAGTGTAAAAGAAGGGACTGTTTAAAGGCTAATAGGTTTCGTAATTACATGGAAAACTTGAAAATCGTTAAGTGATTAATATTCAGTAAGTAATTAATGAAGACGTGATCCAATTAAAAGAAAGAGGAAGACTATGTATATCCATATGCAAAAAAATTATATACATTTACCAAGGTAAAGAAAGGTTAATTACTGTCTCCTGAGTACATAGGTCAGGTTGGAAATGTTTGCAGCGTGAGCTTCTGCAAACCGTAATAAATATAGTATTCTTTGTTTACTGATTATCCTAAAAGATTGAGAAATATTTATTTGATGTCATGTTTTCATTAAATACCTGGGGGTTGCGCTTTTAAAGACCTTTCTACCATTCAGACACAGATTTCTCGATATATGCACATAAAATCGAGTAGACACCCTTCTTTCAGTCCGTCCTATGTACTTGTTTCCACAAGCATAGGTGAATTGATATACACATTTGGAGGTGATGTGAGATGGGTATTTGTCTACTTTCGACTGTGTTATTGAGCATATTGTATTGTAAACTGAGATCAGTCTGGCAGCAGAAAAGCTCCTTCTCAGTGCAGCTTTTATTCTTCTGTCTATTCTTTCAGATATCTCATCACCTTTGAATGCTAGGCGAAGGAAATAGGCTTTTTCTCAACAGTTGGATGTTTTGGTCTCTCATTAAGTTCTTTTCCATGCTTCATGATGAATTTCTTCGGGTATCCATTCTCTATAAGAGCCTTCTCAAGTATCTTGAATTCTTCTCCTTACTTATCTTCAGAGTACAGCCTTTTTATTCTAGTGAATAGCGTCCTGACTAAACCATGTTTATAGCTGACAGGGCAGAAGCTACTGTAGTGAAGGTACTGAACAATCCACGTGTCTTTTCTGTGGATAGTTTTCTCAACTGTACCATAACATCTCCGTCTTATACTTAGTTCCAAAAATTGAATTTGTCCTCATTTTCATATTTTATTGTAAAATTAATATTTGGGTGAGATTGATTGAAGGTGTCGAACAACTTTGACACATGATTCATATTATCACAAACGATCAAAGTATTATCGACATACCTGCAGTAATATGTCGTTTCCTTGATCGCAGCATTCAGACTCGTTCACTCAAGATGAGCCATGAATATATCAGCTAGGATAGGTTCTAGTGGTGTACCCATAACCACTCCATCAGTTTGTCAGTATAGTTAATTATTAAACTGGAACTGTTGTTCATTGTTCAAATTTGTCAAGGGAAATAGATGTATGACATTTTTGTCAGTTTTATCCGACTTTTTCACAGGTTTTTCTATGAAGGTGTTCTTCATCCGACTTTCCTGAAACTTACATTGTAGCTGGAAACTTCTTAGTTGACCTTGAACAAACCGATGACTCAGTTTTGTCAGGTGATGACCCTAACAAGACAAAGTCTTCTAGGCAGATTGAGCGGCAACCTGAGTATGTTTGAAATGAGTTTGTCACTACCTGAATGCAAAGTTATACTCCAGGACTGGTCTGCGTTTGTGCCTTATTATAGAGAGTGTAGTGGTTGATCATATTGACCACTTTACTTACTTGGGAAGTCGGATTAATCCTAGTGGGCCAATTATTGACAAAATCTCTGCACAGATGCAAAAGGCTCTCTTGTCTTTCACCAACCCACATCTTTTATGACACCGTCGTTATAATTGATTGTTTATCAAGGGTCAAGTGTAGTGCACTGCATTTCGCCTTGTTCTACTATCTGGCTATGAAACAACCGTTAAACGTAGAAGAGAAGAGAAGGCTTCAGGTATTCGACCATCGTTGCTTTCGTAGTAGCGGTCGTATGTTTTGGTTTCATCACGTCATTAATGACGAAGTTTGGCGTAGAGTCTTAGGCTTAAGAGGAAAGTTAGTTGGTAGGATTATGAACTGAAATGACTAGGTCTTGTGTTACGCATGCCCAGTCACCGTCTGCCTTGTTGTACATTGTTCGCCGAAGTAGCCTTTCGCTGGAAATAGGTGGAAAATGATCATATTAAAGTGTGGCATTAGTCCATGAATACTGTAACTGTTGATCTGAGCCATTTTGGGACACGTAGAGTTTCCGATTAGTTTATGCTTTGCATCCGAGTGGTTGGAGACTGCAGGTGATATGGTTCAGAATCAGTATAGATAGCGCAAGTGTATTCACACGTTATCTTCATTTTCATACCTAATTTCATTATTGTCTCACTTCTCGCTATCTTATATTCATAATTTTCTAGCATTTTTGACTGACCACTTTGTTTCTTTACCTTTCAACCTGGTGAATTCTCGCAGTGTGTGCTGGTATATGAGGTGTGGAAACTTGAACCTTTACTCAGTAATGCCAGGTTCCATGTTGATATTGACTGTAGGACTCACTATCGTAGCTATTTCACATGTTTTTCACTTAATAATTAGGTATTTATCCTATTTCTACTGTCATTTTACCTCCAGATATATCACAACTTTGAGCTTTATTATTAACTTCCTTTATTTCGTATGCATTGACTACGGTAGTCATCAATCATATTGCAAGAGGATAATCTAAGGAAATTGTCATCGCTCATTGATGTCACTGAAAACCACTGAAAACTTGTAAGCAGATGCAGGAAAGTACGAACCATTGGATTTCAACCCAATTCCTGAGGGTTATTGTGTCTGACAATCCTTGACTCTTACCTCGTGAGGTCATAGATACTCAATTTTGTGGAGTCCTGATGTAAAATCGAACACCTGCTCAGTGCAAACGAGTTATCAACAATTTTCCAAACTTATGTCAGACCCTGATGAGAAGTACTTTGAAACATATCGATTCCCACAAAGCACCGATTAGCTTACGGTTTTCATCCGAGTTGTCGTTGCAGTTTACACGGAAACATATCTCTTTCTGTAATCTATAAGCTTTGGTCAGTCTGATTATAATTTCGTATCAACTTTACAATACATTTACCGCATATTCGGCCATTGCTTACTTCACAAGTTTGATTTTACAACTCCAAAACCTGGTGCGAAGTTACTGAAAATAATATACTGCGTTCACATTTGACTTTCAATATATGAATGTGAATATATAGGTGTTTAAAACAGTAACAATAATCCCAGCAACGAATTTCTCGGGTGTTTCTGTTGGTCTTCTATTAATCATTGAAAACTCAAATAAATAAACACAAGCCTGGACCTTTTCAGCAAAACATTTTTCGAAATATTTTTCTTACAAATAACATCTGATAAATCACTACCCATCTTTTTTAATAGTCATCTATAGTCGTCAATTTTTTTCATAGTACACTCGTGTAGTTACTTACTTACATAGGAAATTAGTTTTAAATTTACTGACTTTTAGGAGTAATCAATAAGCCTATCTCTCATACACAGATCGTTCCACTGCAAATAATTTAGGATAAGCATTGGATTGTTTGGTAGCAGTTTGATACAGTTTAACATATGAGTATTCTACAGATAGTAAGCTATAAACTTAAGCTATAATTAACATGTTACGGTGTGAGTTAATGTGTAGACCTTTTGGTAATTCAGCTAGTAATTACTTAAATAAAGGAGTGTTAGAGTTCTAGTGGACATTTGACATTTAAGTATCATTTGACACCTGTGTGCGAGGTTCTGCTTTGATTCTGTCCGTCAGTCAGTCATTTGACAATGTATTCAAACCTTTGTGATTGTAAATCGACCCGTACCGTGAAAGAATGTGTTTGATCCCGGATAGTCTGCCGTAAGCTGTTCGTCTCTTTCAACAAGGTGAATAAAGTAGTCACGCGATAACCAGTTAAACTTGTATTCCATGCGAACGTTTGATAATTTAGTTTGCTTGTAGGTTATAATAATAGTAATTCAGTATTCAAAGTGCGACACCGATAGGTTCATTTAGTCAAAGTCACGGTTCTACTTACACCCTTTGGCACATTTATCTTACGCGCTTCATTTTGGTGCCAGGTTTGTGGTAGTTTTATCCATCATTCAAACCATTATTGGAGACGCGATATACATCAATAAGTTAAATTAAGTAGTTATCTTCAGGTTTTCCTTTTGACTATCTGAGAGAGCTGTGGTTTGGCGGACTAGTATTGATGCTGGGTGATGAACATGGTTGATAACGATAACGGTCGCTGGTTCGAATCCGGTCGCGGTCCAAATTTCCATTTAGCCTTCAGTCATCACCCAGTATCCTCGGGTTTACTTACTACTTTGCAGACCACATCTGCTGTATGGTTGTCATAGTTACACTACCAGGTGATTCAAATGATGATCGTTGATGAAGGATTGAACCCCGTTGCCCAATAATGCCTTATCTTAGTCATTGAGAAACAGGTTGTGCAAATATGCAGCTTCTCATTCGATATCCGTTTATTTTTATGTCCAAATGTTTTGTCCTTTAAGCTTTATTGGTATTTTATTTATGAAATTGGTTTCTCATTAGTTTCGTTTTTCCTTATTTTAAAGATGATTCTGCAATTACTTGGTAAAAGTATATTTACTGTCACGTTACAGTATTTCGGCACCGCATTTCCTATAGAGATTATGGGAACAAAAGCAGCATGGTACCGGGCCGCTTATATGCCACTCCCTCGGATTCCTGATTATAGCTCAGTTTCTACTGCCCCCATGCCTGGTTTGATACGTTCCGTAGCAGTGAAGCCAGGTGATCGAGTTAGTGAGGGTCAAGAACTGTGTGTGTTAGAAGCTATGAAGATGCAGAACAGCATAACGGCATCTAGATCAGGAGTTGTAAGTTAGTTTTTCGATTATTTCCTTGTGGACATGCCTCAATCACATAACTGTATGTCAGCCATTCCATGTATTACCTAACAGTTTTTTTTATCTATATATCTATAGTAACGGTAAAAACAATAATAATAAATCAAATTAGCGGAAGTAAGTTCAAGCTAAATGATTCCCTTTTTAAATATCCAAGTATTAACATAGAAGATATGGCAAAATAGGTCAAGGCGGACCTTTAAGTAAACTTTATTGTCATGAGCAGCTGAGAATTGTCAACTACTTTCACAGTTCTGTCAGCATACATGTTCCCTCAGGATACTATCGACTTCGCACACCTTTACTCCTTAATCTTAACTTGCATTTCTGTTGATACTTATATTTCTTTCTACTCTGCACTCATTGATAACGATTTGAGTTCACAAAACAACATCTTTGGTTTCCTGAAACCACACTCTAGACTACATGTGTGAGTTTTCAGTGTCAGCGTCTTCAACAAAATCAGAAAACGAGCTTCACCAACCAAAGCTTTGACGTCTCGAACCATGGACATACACTTTGTTTGTGACACATGCAATAAAGAACCCATGGTTATTCACTTAGCTTCACTGAATTAATATAGTGAATCTGTAGAATTGACTCCTCGAACTTCTCGAAATTCGATGGACAATTTTCTCAGTCTTTTAGGTTTTGGTCTTGCAATAAATCCTAAGGCAGAATAGGCACTCATCGACTGGATCCCAGTTGAAAGTTGTGCATGCGCTGTCCGACTGAACAGTACAGTGTGAACTAATAAGAACAGTAAACCTCGTCGTTGCTTTTTGTAATTTCTGCTTATGCACCCACTAACTGGCGTTAGGATAAAGCAAAGGATGAGTTCTACCGAAAACTGTCAAGCCTCCTACTGAAAGTCAGACGTTCAGACGTAGTTGTTTTAGCAGCTGATTTCAGTGAACAAGTGGGTAGGGTAGGTCAGACAGGAAGGTACTTGGGCGGTACTTTTGGATTCCAGCCGGACGAAAAGATAACGGCGATCATCTGCTACAACTGTGCTCAGACAACCGTCTACCTCTGGTCAACCTAAAATTCAGGCATAAAGAGGGACACTGTCTGACGTTACATCCAGGTCATTTTCGCCTATCAAAAATACAGAAGCGGAAATTTCAGTGGTAATTGATACTATAGTGGAGAAAGATATGCCTGTGATCCACTCGCTGAGATGATTGGAGGAACAGTCCAACTGCCTCCTGCTACTATCCCGTTGCCTGCCATCCAGTCGGATCCCTAATGAAACATTGAGATAGGACCTCTAGCACACAGAAATCGAGAAAGCCGTAGTCATCCTGAAACGAGGAAGGGCAATGGGGCCAGATGGGCCAGTACCAGAGGTATTTAAGATCGATGGTAGAGGATTATTAGTCGGATAAACTGGTGTTAACTAATGTATGGGAGTCAGATACGATCACCCCTGACTGCCCCCAATCACTGATTGTCCAAGTCTTCAAGGAGGGTGAAAAGTCATCTTTTGATAATTAACCTGACGAACGTAATATCGAAGATTCTAGGTTCCATCATCATCATACGTCTAAGTGGATCTCAAGAACGGTGAACCTAAGAAAACCAGATGAAGTGCCAACCTGGTCGTGGGTGCATCGACCAGATCTCCACGCACAGCCAGGTTCTAGAACACAAGTACACCTACTGACGGCTGACAGTGGTTGTATTCTCGACGTGAAGGCGGTAGTCTTCCACTCCGTCAGTCAAAAGGTGTTACAGTAGTGTCCCTCACTGAAAGGGATAGCAATTAAGTACATCACAATGTTGAAGGCTCTGTGCTCAAACATCCATGGGCGTGTCAGAGCCTATGGTGAGTTGTGTATATGGTGAATTGTCCGTTAGGGGTGTCCGCTCTCTCCATTCTCACCCAATTTCATCACAGACCCACTTCTAAAAGTTTCCTCATCTTAGTCTGACTTCAAACGGATTGATATTATCACAGAAGAATCCTTGGTAGATCTGGAATGCGCAGATGACTTATTCCTGTTAGGTTATGTCGCTGACAAAATGTAGTTTCCTGAACATATCGAGCGGCGATATGAGGATGTTTGGGATGCGTTTTTCTATGCCTCAATACAAAATATTGCCCCACGAATGTTCTTCAGTGGTGCCTTGTGTAGCAATACGGAAAGGTGCGGTTGATCTCACTGACCACTGCACGTGATTGGGAAGTCTTACCAGTCTTGGTAGGTAAGTAGCCAACAAAATTTTGGCAAGGACAAGAAAGGCTTGCCTGATTTTCGCCAGCCTACCCCTTTTATAGCTCTACCGTGATATTTGATTGTCTACTAAGGGTTGAGTGTTGTGCACTGCAGTTCGCTCTGTCCTACAATTTGATTGTGAACCATGACCATTAAAGGTAAGGGATATGAGAAAGCTTCAGGTATTCGACTACCGTTGTCTTCATGGCATAGGCCGTATTTCCGGGTGACATGTTTCAGAATCGATGACAGTGGCACAGATGTATCCACATATTATCCTCATCCTAATTACCATGTTGAATTCAGTTAGTTTCTTATTCCTCCTCTTATCTATTACTACTTTCTTCTACTTTTGGCCGATTCTTTTCTTTCTTTTCTTTTCTTTTCTACCTTTCATCTTAGTGTTTTGTTACTTGATCTGCTGATATGAGCTGTGGCAACTTGGACCGTTCTGCAGTAATGCTTAATCGTATGTTAATGATGATTATCCAGTCGCATCGTTAATGACACATTAAAACGGAGTCTTAAACTCTTTTCGAAGTTGAGAAGGTCGTAATTAACCGGGAAAGAGGAACAGTATCAGATATAAATTGCTGAATACCAGAAATATTCAAGGACAATAGTTGAAAATTATCGGTTAGAAGTCAAGTATGATCCTCTGTGACTGGTCTCAATTATTGATAGTCCCAGTCTAGGAAGGGTGATAAATTTTTTTGCGCTAACCACATGAGAGTTAGTCTGATGAATAGTGTGTAAGATTCTAGGTCCTATAAATGTAAGACGTCCAAATAAAGCTCAGATACACCAAACTAGGCAAATCCAGGCAGATTTCAAACCTGGTCGTGAATGCAACTAGCAGATTTTCACTCTCTTTTAATTAGTTTCCTCCTCATTTATTTTCCTCCCACGTTTTTGTCCTCGTAACTGATGTGCTGGTTTGAAGTGTGACGAACTGAACCTTTACACAATAATTTCAAACCTGTCACTTATGCTGACTGATTGTTTGAAGTATAATCAGAGAGAATGAGAATTCGATGATTACTAGGTGATATAATTGATTGGAGCTTCTTTTATATGAATAAAGCTATTATATAGAACCTGAAACAATTTTCAGGAAGTAATGTTTGATGGAAATGTTAGTGAAAAGACGATGAGACTACTAACTGGTCTTGAATGACACCAGGAGATTCGCATATGTGAAAGAAGTTGATATTATTTTATTTCATAGGATCTTTTTCAGCTGCGTATAAGCTGAATAAATGAGTAAGTAATCACTGCAATTAATTTTAACATCGAGCATATCAAGAGTATTGAGGTACCTTTTCACAACCTTCCTTTTTTTGTTTTATGTTATGAATATCTGAATGTCCTCTTGATCCATACCAAGTTCTCACATCATAAATTTTAAAACTTTTACGATCCATATCTCCAGATCACATAATGAAACGGTAGCTGCTGCGTAGTTGGATGTTCAACCCCCTAGATGGCATCTGAACAGCTTTCTGGAGTCACTTCGATGTAGGGTGGGAAGCTGTCAAATTCGTTTTCGTATCTACCTGAAGATTTGTTGATCCAGTAGCACATTAAATGGATTCAACCGTCTATCTAAGAGAAGCTTCATTGTACCAAACCACTTCTTTTACAGACTGATTGTAGACTGTCATCTCACGTACTGCAAGTGCAAAGCACAACCTATGTATTTTTTTCATTTTCGTGCCAGGGATTTGAAAGATATTTCTTCCACCAGTATCATCGCTCAAACACATAATACCAAACATATTCTCAGATTTTAAATGTATTATCAACTGAGTTTTCAATATAAGTCACACATTTTGAGAAACAGATATGAGTCATAAGATAAAGTTCTGTTAACTGGTAAAGCCTCTTACTTAACAGCATTTTGATAGATTGCCAACTTGTATTAGTTTGTAAACTTTTCTGATGAAGATAAACAACTATCGTCTTTCATAAATCAACGTTTCACTTCACTTTTCATTCCGTTGAATAACGAACTACAACTATCCACTCATAACATGTAGTGTGTAGTATATATGCGTATGGCTGTATTTTGTTCTCTAAGCCGAGCGGTTTAGTCGTGATGCTTTCATAGACTCTCTAGACAACATCATCAGCACTAACTTCAATATGAAGTGATCTGTCAATATCTCTCCACTAGTAATTTAGTAGCTTGCCCTCACCAGTTGGTTCGCTATTCGTTGTTTCCTTTGATTTCAGTGACACCATATTCACAGTGGAGAAAGAGTGGAACAAACAACTGCCATTCCTGGATGTTGTAGTCAGTAGAACAAATATAGGAAAACCGGAAACTCAGGTGTACAAGAAGTCAACAAACACTGATCAAATTCTCAGCTACAGAAGAAACAACCCAACAACATACAAAATTACTCGCATGCAGATTCCAATGAAGAAGAGAGCGACAACACACTCTGCAGTAGAACAAATTCACGGAGAAACGCAGAAAACTACTTGATATCTATCGTGAAGGAGGACGGATACTCACGAAACTTTATCAGAACATGCCTATTTCGTTCATCATCAATCACAGCATCATCGACAGAAATCAACAAACGGATCATAGTACTGTACATAGAGAATGAGAATATATCAGAGATCTCATGAAGATTAGTGAGACCACCTCGAATTGGTGCAGCTGATAAACCAACAAATCCCTCTCAAACCCCATTATCCAGAACAAAAGATGCAACAGCCGAAGAAGACAAACTAAATATCACTCATAAAATCAACTGCAACAGGTTTGCTCAACTCTACATTGATCGAAGTGATCTCCCTTTTCACTTCGTTTACATGAACACCAACTAGGCATTAAACGTCACGACATTCCATGGCTTATTTCAGTGCACGTGTTCAACTATGAAAATGGACTCAATGTTGACAATATAGAAATGGTGGACAGAGGAAACACGAGTAATATCAGAGAATTCCTAGAAGCTTGTCATTCAGATTAGTCATCAATCAATAGATGCATAGACATAGACTAAATCTATTAATCAATAAGGAAAAGGACAGACAATAGAGAATTCAGTGGTGAATAAAAGGAACAACCAACAGGAAAATCTATGGATTCAATGACTCAACAATCAAAGGAAACAATCAATCACCAACCAGTTTATCAGCGGGAGCTACTGAACCACTCACGGTGAGATACTGACAGTTCACTTCACATTGAAGTCAGTACTGATGATGTCGTTTAGAAAGATAATGAAAGCTTCACGATTAAACCACACAACACAACAAAGATCATGCACCTGAGTTAGAAATGTTCTTCATCATTTCAATATATATGTATAGATTAGTTAAACGTAAAGGAAGGTATTATAACTAGTCTCTTACAATACGTGAAACCAGAAGGTATGAACTTTATACATAATGTTATTGATACGGATAAAATAATCAACTGTACTCATGAACAAACAAACACATACGTGTAACAGTTCAACTCCGTATGGACGTTTAAACTGCTCTTGTTCACTGTTCCCAATATTACACTTCAAAAATATTTGTTTATTGTGTATTGATTCATTTAGATTAAGAAACTGAATTTCGAAGTGGGTGATTCAGTGGGAGAAGGAGATGTTTTGGTTGAACTGGAGAAATAACATGGCTGTCTCTATCCCCTTAACTTTGTTACCCACCCACCCCCTCCCCGAAATTATAATTTATTGTATAAGTTGAAAAGGATGAAAAACCATTTTTTTTCTCCAAACATTTTCTGAAATGAGTAACTGGGTGAAGCAGAGATTATTTTGAACTCATCACAACTGCTTTCCTATGTTATATGTATATATACAAACAGTTTTAGACTATTTAAAAAAAAAATGTTTTATTGTTTTTTATTAGAAAATCAACGTTTTTTTGCTTACTTCTAACAAGTAAATGTTCATTTGAAAAGTCTTCCCCAATGTTTTACTTCTTATTTTTTTACGAATTTTCAACTTTTCGTATATCGATTGTATTTATAACAAAATGATGACGATAAAGAGATCTTGATTTCATTTCACTACTGACCGGTGCTAACTTTTATTTCTTAATTTTTGTATGAGGTTTTATGCTTTTTATGCCATGCTATTGATTGTTGTTTATCTGTCAATAAGTGAATATCAAAGTTATGGTGTAGGGATGGTTGTTAGTAAAACACGAATGAAATAATTCAGTTTGAGTGTCAATAAAAAATATGTCAATTCACTGCTCCAAAAGAGAAATGAAATTATCAATAGAACTGAGAAATTTCAAGTGATTACAGCTGGTCACGCTTTCCTTCTTTGTAATAAGTTCAGGAAGAATTCACTTGAAAGGAATGACCCTTGCAAAGCTAAGCACATTTGATGCCTTGTGTGTGATTGTGTTCACAGTGAACTTTTTTTTACATCTATGTTATGTCGTGTATCCATTAGGCACCTGAAATCTCATTTGTGATAAGCTTGCTTTCATTCATTCATTCTTGAAAGCATATTAATAAAACTTAATAGAAGCCTTCCTCAAACTACTCTGACATACATGCTTCCATGGAAAAATGCAAATTTCAGGTTAGAATTCATCATGAACTGACATCAGTTAGAGGAGCGTTGGAAACATGGGACCACTGGACAGCTGTTTTGTCCCAGTATAGGACTCCTTGGCAAGGTGCACCTATGGCCCTGACCAAACCCAGGACCTTCAGGTCCCATAGTCAGCACATTACCATTCAGCCACTGGGTCAGGATGAAGTGGTCCATGTTTCCTACTTCTGTCAGTTCACGATATAGCGTGAGCTCCATTCAATGCCGTCGTTGAGTGACTGTCCTTATGTTCAACTTGTTTAGCTCCATTGGTCACGACTTTCCATTGGAACTTCGGAAATCACCTATCGAAGCTAGTCAGCAGTGACTTTAGCGGGATATTGATTTACTTAAGATTGGTTAAGTGAACATATACTTTTTACATTACTACCAGTCTAGCTTGAGAAAAGCATATTTTTAATGCTACTGTAATTCTTTTCTCAATTTTTTCGAATTCTAATCCCCTTTTACTAAGATTTGGACAGAAATCATTCTCTTTCTAGCAGTTAAACATTTGGTTTCCAACCCCTACTTCCGGCCATATTTCATATTTAGTCTCCTCAATCATTCATTCCTTCTAGATCCGTTCTCATTGATAACATATCCTCCTGGTTAATCTTAGAAACATTTCTGCTCTTTGGAAAAAGCAATTTAAGCAAATAATTGTTTATGGTAATCTCTCATCAGAAGTAATTCAACATAAACATTCGATATCAACCCTGAAACCGTTGTCAGTGTATCAAAAAATATCATAAGATCAATATACAGTAATGTTATTTTGCGCTAACAGAAACCTTAGATGTTATCTTACTGATCTCAGTTCCTTAGGTTCGAGCTTCTTCCTAAGTCTTAGTCCGCTAAAGTCAATACGCAACCAGATGCCAACTCCAACAATGTCCCCTGCATAATCCAGTATTTTGTAAATATCTTTAGATCGTGTTATAGGTGTTGTGCAAACGTCTAAGCTGCCATGCAACTACGATCAAACCCTATATTTGATATTATTTATAAGAAACTGCTAAAAGCCGAGAAAGCGGCAGGACCAGATGGAATTCCTCCAGAATCACTGAAAACAGACGCAGAGACATCAGTGGACATACCACTATTGCAGAAGGTTTGGAAGGAAGGAAAGGTACCTGCCTATCGATTGGAAGAAAGGCGACCTAAGTTTCTGCAAAAACTGGCGCGGAATCATACTCCTGTCCATCCCAAGCAAAATATTATGCCACATCATCCTGGAGAGACCGAAAAATGCTCTGGATTCAAAATTACGACCGGAGCAGGCTGGCTGGATTCAGGATGAACAAATCATGTGCGGATTAATTGCAACACTACGCTACGCATCATCATAGAACAAGTATGAAATGGCAGTCAACTTCCACATCAACTTTTAAAAGGCCTTCGACAGCGTCAATCGAGAAGTAATTTGGCAGCTGCTGCTTCAACACTACGGAGTGCCACAAACCTCTATCAATCTCATTGAACAGCTATATGCTATATGACCCCACATGTCAAGTGATTCAGAACACAATGGAAAGCTCAGTGACGCCTTTGAAGTGAAGACAGGAGTAAGACAAGGCTACCTACCATCACCGATGATCTTCCTGATTGTGGTCGATTGGACTGGACTGGATCGTTCAGCAAACTGTGAGGAGTGAGAAGATGGGCATTGGCTGTTTGACCGATGACAAGACCCTAGAAGATTTCGATTTCGCCGATGACTTGTGTCTAATGTCGCACAAACTCGAAGATCTACAGGCGGAAATCAGCAAGTTGGCAGAAGAGGCGAGGCAACAAAGACGGGACTTCCTTCAGGTGAACGTAGAGAAGACATCAACGGAAGAAATATAAAGGAAGTAGTCTCGTTCACCTACCTACCTAGATAGCATCGTTCCAACTACAGGCGGTGGCGGCACAGATAAGGATACCGAATTTAGGATCGAAAAAGCAAGACAGGCCTTCATCAATCTGAAATAATCAGTATGGAGATTTACTACACTCAGCATAAAGCGTGAACAAGATCCGGCCTTTCAACACTGTCAGTCAAGTTCGTGCTTCTATGTGATGGTTGAGAGACTTGGTGCGTTACGAAAAGCATTTCCAACAAACTACACACATACATGAATAGCTTCCATCTACACTCACTTGATACTGACAGTGAAGATCAGATGGCCAGAATAATAAGAATAATGAAGGAGGAAATCTGTCTGGCAAAGAACCAACCAGGAGTCTATCGCGCAACAAATGTGCAGAAGAAAGTGGAGATCGATTGGATTGGACATACACTGAGAAGACTGTTTGTGGACATTACGCGCCAGGCAAGGCCGTCGAGATGAAGCCAAATGGGAAACGACGAATTGGGCATCCGAGGGTGACATGGAAGAGATGGTGTGAGGAAGAAATGAAGACTTGTGGGCAGCCGCTGAGCTGGATTCAAAGGACTGTGACGTGCCACTGAAGCCCTCTGTTCCACTAGGAAGCCGAGGGATAAATAATAAAAAACTGTGCTTCATATTTCACTACCACACAAAAACTAAGCTTCTACGCATAGAACAACCAGATACCATTACATCTGTTTGGCATCCTGCATTAGTGGCTGTTGCTTTAGTTGTTAAGAAGTCTAATGATTCTTTCTTGATCTATGATGATGTACAAGAGGAATGTGCACAGAAGTACCATTAATGATTGGCCAAAAACACCAACAGTGCGCTACTTGAATGAACAGGACTATCATTTGGTTATAAAACATTGCCAATCGTCTCTCCGCAAAACTTTTATACCATCTTTTCGGTATATCATGTTTGTAAACGTTTCTCGATGATATACTGATTGTTGCAGCTTCTTTAGCTAAAATACTGAAGCAGATAGGAAATTGTTACAAGGTATTGCATGAAATGAATTCTCTCTGAGTTCTGAGAAACGAGAGTTATTCGTCTATTCAGCAAAGCCTGTCAATATTTGGACCCAGAAAATATCCATCGTACACAATACGTGTCCAAATAAAAAGATATATCATCGCTTAGACCAAGGCTCCGAAGTCGTTAATTAGCCTTCACTCCATCAATTTGCACTGGTGAATCACCTGCCAGATAGAAATTTTCATCGAAACGACACTTAGATGTGCACAAGCTTTCTGGAAATTTCAAATTATGATTATATCAAAACCGTTGTCGATCCATTATAACCTCAACTTTCCAACCGTTATTGTCATTATTACATCTACTTTGAGAGTCAGCACAGTTCTACTACGTGTTTTTCTTGGTGGTGAAGAAAGAGGAATTATTTATGTACCCTTAACACTGATGCTGGTGGAATAAAAATATCACCATTAGAAAATTAAGCTCTTATCCCTGTTTTCGCTGTCCTCTAATTCGAAAGGCTAGTTGATGGTCAAAAGCTTCTACTTCTGATAAATTACAGCTGCTCTTATCTGTTTTCTAATTTAAAACTGAAACTCTTACCCATTCAGCGAATTGATAACGTCTGTGGGCATTAATACTGTTAGCGTTTGATGTAGAAACTCAGTGATGATGCCCCCGTGAGTTTAGACAAGTGAAAGCATTATCACACCTGTCTATACAACTACGAATGAACATGCCGTTATGGCAACATTTTCCATAAAGGACTATGTAGTCAGTTGTTGCACGAAGTCCGTCAAACTCTTTCGTTCAGTTCAACTCATATCCAGAAAGCCACATATGACAATGAAATCTAGTAATCTTATTTTATTGTTATCGTATATGATTGCCTCATGTTTAGAGACTAAACTGTTCCAATTCAGTCACTAGGATGTTAGGCCTTTTTTCTTATTTAGTTATAGCTGACATTTTTACAAACTGACCTGAGATCATTTAAACCTATAAACCAACCTGCCAGCATCTATGTGAACTTCACAAACTCTCTCTAATATTTTCCGTTGCCAGAGTTTAATCAAAACCATCATTTCTGATAACGATTCCCAGCATACACTTCATTCTGAGGAGTACTACCACCATGATACACTTGATCACATTTTCTCTCAACCTCACCATTCATAATCTAATTACCAAGTGGATTGCTTTATGGACTCATTAATGGGGACTCTGCCTAAGGTGAGGGAGAAGAGGAAACTAGTTGACATTGTTCAACAGTTCTTATTCATTAACAGATCGTTGCTGAATGAAACACTATCAGATCGACAGACTTTCAATGAAGCACTTGTTATGTGCAGATTAGGAACATCCCTCAGTATCTTTCTACTGAGACAACTTTTATCAGAACTATCAGTGAAAACTGGGAAAGCTACTAAAAGCAGTAAAATCAGTATACACCGGACTACACGTTGAATCACCTTGAAACCCGAAAATTGTAATATATGATCTGGCTATTAGGCTAGATATACTGGCCTGATAAAAAAACAAGCATTATCAGCTGAAGAGGCCTCACAAACCATGATCCATCTCGAAATATTTCTAACCATTTCTTACATACTGTGTGAAAACCATACTAATTACAAGAGAACTTCAGAAAGCGTTCCTCCATAAA